GGAGGGAAGAAGAAAGAGGTATCCCACGAAAATCCATAAATATAAGTGTAACACCCAAGAAAGGAAATGGAAGGTAAACATTACCTGAAGGAAAGTAGATAGGGTAATACAAAGCTGAAAAACTAGGTAGGAGAGAAAATGGATAGGATTAACAGATACCCGAAGGAGCTAAGGCAAAAAGAATTAAAGCCTGTATAGGGCGAGGCTTGCAAGTACCTACTCTCAAAAGAGAGACATAAATATCATCAGAAAATAATGTCAGGAGAAGGGGAATATACTGTAAAATGTGTCTAAAACAAAAAGAAAAAAAAACTGACAAAATCTAGGCTGTCTGAAATGGGTTCAACTGTTATAGGAGAAAGGCAAATACTAATGGGGGCAGGTAGGGTGGACCCCAACCCTCAGGGGCCCACACAAACGAAATTAAGGGTAAGAAGTATAAATTAAACGCAATTAATGACAAGAGATTGTGTATCAAAATAAACATATGTACTACATGTTATGTGTTGAACAAAACAAAATAGTTAACCTAACTATCGCTTAACCCAAAAGTATAACAACAGGTAAACTGAAATTATGAAGTGTAAGCTAATAAGATATTAAACTTAATTAGAGATTAACTCATAAGTAGAACTACAGGCAAACCCAAAATAACAGACATGTTAAGGCTAATCGAACAGTGCAGGACAAAGGATATCATTAAGCTCTAAAATAAATATCTCAACCTAACAATAAGTATGTACAATATTATGGGTTCCACACAACCCAAGTTAATATGAAGTATAAAAGATAAATAATAACAAAAATGAAATAAACGTTAATTTATAAAGTGAAATAAGTGTATATTAAAAATATGAAAGAAAAACAATATAGTTAAAGGAATGATTGATATACCAGTAAGATGAATTACAGGTAACCCTAAAACATTAAAGAAGCTTGGTATCAGTCGTATATGAGAAAAGATACAACTAAGCCTAATTTTTAACCTTAACTGGACTATGAGTATTGATCAATCTAATGAAACATGTTATAGAATTCAAATAACTACAGATAATAGTATTAAAAATAAAATTACGCAAAAAACCATAACAGTATAACGTTTTATCTTTCCAAAGTCATCAGACTGTATGTCAAAATGTGTTGGCTCCCAAACTCAAGACAAGACCTGTCATAAAATCAGCTTATTGGATGATCAATCACCAGATGAAGTAAAGCTGAAAATCTTTCCATGGAGTACTGCTACCTGAAGCCTGTGTAAATGTGCCGATAAAACATCTAACCTCTGAAGTGGTAATGTAGAATTCATAATGCAAAATGAATAGCAAACAACTGTTTTTGCAGAAAGAAAAAAAAAAGTTTTTCTAATGAAGCAATACATTCCATAACTGGATAGAAATATAAAATAATTTCACTTGGGAACAACTCAACAAGTTAAAAATATCACTATTGTATAATAAAGAGTAAACTTGTTGAGAAAAATTAATAAAAAGGTACTGAAATAAATTAAAATAAAACACTTGAAGAGAGCACAATCTAAATGTTACAACACGAGTACTGCCAAACTAGAAATGATAGTTTGGTAAAATTGAAGAGAGGGAGTCACATGTCAAGAGAGTATGTTGCACTCTTATTGGTGGAGAGTTGTTGCATAATAATTTGCATGCAAAACACAGTGGTATCAGTCAATTCCATATGGGTGGGAGCTTCAAGGCTTGTGGCATGCAGAAAAAATTCTGCATATAGAGGGCAGCACTGAATAATAGTTATTTATACGAGAGGAGATAATGTATCTTGTACGAAGATATCCACATCTAGCTGCTTCAGCAAGAAAGTATCTTACTGCTCTCTACTATTACACACCAAATGAGAATATTTTCACTGTTAGCAGATATAGGTCAAATCTTCCCCCTGATCATGTGAATGTGATTGGCGAGTAGATTTAGGTCAAATCTTCACCCTGATCATGTAACTGTTTTCCTGAATGCAAATTCCTAAACAACTGAAAAGAAGAGAAATAACACTAATAGAAAGCAGAGAATGACATTTCTAAAAATTCTGACTCATTTTTCATTGAAAGTGCCCATCTTGTTAGGAAAACAAGAAAACCCCTGCAGACTGCAAAACCATACTTTCTCTTTTAATAACAAAGAGACAGTAATGGATTTGACTGAGTTAAACACTTACAAAAAATCCAGTACCATGCCACCCGGCTGTTGTGGTATATGACTTTTATCTTTTCATTTGCTTTTACAACTGTTTTAAGCAAAAAAAATGGGTAGGCCAATGAAATTGTACAGGTTCTGTAAATAATTAAATTGTACATTCAACTAAGTGAGTTTCAAAAACATTAAAAAATCAAGCAGTAAAATTTGCTAAAATAATAAAGTTTATCAAAGTACTGTTTTATTGTGTTGAACAAGACCGATGTCTGTAGGTTTACTTTCTTCTTAGAATTCTTCTCAAGAAGTCGATAAGCCG